TTCCCACAGCGGTGCTGCAGGTGGAACTCGCGCGGGCCTCGACCCGCCCTGAAACTGGGGCGCGCCGCTGGGGGGGGGGGGGGGGGGGGGGCGATGGCACCGCCGTGCTCTCGCAATTAACCCCGCTGGCAAGCGCGCTGGGATGCTTCTTGACATGCTGCTTTCGGACCGCGGGCGCAAAACAAGCCCTCTCGGCTCCTGAGACACCCTCAAGCAGCCATCTCCTGAAAGCGCAGGGGCCCGAGGGGCGGGGGCAGGGGGGGGCGGCGGCAGCAGCGGCGGCAGGGATCGAAGACGAGGAGAGGCGCGGGAGTTCCCTACGATCAGGCAGGGCCCTAAAACGGACCGAGGTGATAAAGACTGCAGGCGCTAGCTCGCTCAAATGGGAAGCGATTCAGAGCGCCTCGACCTCGCCGGGCTGGGCGCTGAGGTCCACTCCCCCCATGGCCAGGCCGTGATTGGCCAGGCCGATGTTGCTGCACTTGGCGACCTCGAAGAACAGCTAGCACCCCCCCCCATCGGGCCTCGGTGGGGCGGTCGGGGCAGCGACGTCGGCGCCTCGAACTGGGTCCTCAAAGCCGCTCCCCTCGTGACTGGCTCGAGGAGGCTCCAATCTAAGACCGCTCGCAATATCATCGCTCATGCCGCGAGCTGCGCTGCGATCCCTCACCATTTCCACGCTAGCGCCACGAGCTGCTCCAGCATCTCCGCCGCGCCCCATCCAGGGATCCGCGCGGCGCTGGCCCGTGCTTCCGCTGGCCAAACTTGTTGAGGTACGTGACCAAGGCCGCCCCCAGATCGCCGCGCCTGAGGCCCACGCCGCAGGTCAGACGCAACTTCTCGCCATTCGATTCCATCTCGCGCGCGGCGCGCACCCCGCAGCGTCGCGCATGGTCGGCCAGCTCGGCCACGTGCGCTCGCATGACCACCTCGCCCCAGTGCTCCTCCAGGATCAGCTTCACGTCCGCGACCGCCCGGGGGCCGACGCCGGCTGCGTCGGCGAGGGCGGCCCAGACGCGGGCGGGCGGAGGCCCCCGGGGCTCCGCCTCGACGCCCCCCCCCCCCCCCCTCCGCTGGATCTCCTGATAATAAACGACCGCCGCCCGCTTCGCCGCCGCGACTGCGACCTGCTCCGCGCCGACCAAGAACGCGACGGGCGCCGCTCCGCATGCGTCGCGGACTCTGCCGCGCTGGACAGGCTCTGCCCTGCAAGCGCCACGGCGATGTTTTTTTGTTTTTGCTTGTATTTCTTAAAAGGAAAAAAATGCAACTCTCCACCCTTTGACTTGGCCCGGGCGGCCAGGCGCCTCTTCTCGCCGTCGCGCTCGCTTGCCTCGGCGGACGCCGAAGGAGCAGTCGCCCGCGCGGGAGAGGCGTCCGCGGCCGCGCCCAGGAAGCGGGCGAACAACTCTGAGTGGCCCAGGAAGGCGCCCGCGCAAGTGCAGCTGGACTTGCGCAAAAATAAGCACCAACGAAATCGCAGAATGGGCAGTCGGGCAGAGCTGGGGGCACAACCGAACAAAGATGGCGAAAGGCAGCAACCGCGCACAATCCCGTCTTGAGCGAGAGCCCTAGATGCCGTTGACGCGCCGCGCTGCCCGAGAGCACCGCGCGACGCCAGCAACGCATATGAGCTGACACTGGAGGGGCTTAAGGTGGCCTCCAAGAGAAGCCATCAACGACCCCCTCACCCATTGCAGACACCGCCCCCGGATCCCCCCAAGCTCGTTATGGCCCAGGGATTAGTCAACGCATCATGTCCACCCGAGGAGGGGGGGCGGGGGCCGAGGAGGGGGGGGAAAGGCGAAAAGAACAGCAAGGACCTGCTCGTGAAAGTGGGGCGCCCCGGGAGTTCTTGAAGATGCATGCGACGAGCCCGAGTCTCGGGCGCAATCGGTGCAGTGCGCCAGTATTTCAGCACAACTTCATTGCTAAGAGAAAGACACGGTGGGGCGAAACAGAAAACGCACGCGCTTTGCCCCTTTCATCGCCTGTCGGGCATAATGCGCCGCCTCACCAGTGAGCCGATCTAACTCGGCAGGGGGCGGCAGCGAAGTTTCGAGCCCCGAGGGGGCCGCGTTCTAAGGAAGCATGCGCCTGCGCGCGCGATAGAGGGCGCCCGAAAGAAACGAAGAACTACGCGTAGGGCGCCACCCCGCGCGCGCGGCTTCCGCGCGAACTTTGCGCTCGGAGCAGAAACGAATCGACGCCGAATTAAGGCGAGCCCCCAGACTGACAACAACCTGGGGCGCCTTGCCTGGGACGGCAAGCTCGCCCGCGCGAGGCGCCTCGAGGGCTCGCCCCGCGCCTCGGCCGAAGATGCCTACAGGGGCATCCTGCTTACCGAGCGGTTCCCGACGCACCCGCCGCGACAGCGGGCCGCCGAGGTCCGCGGAAGATCCAGCGCCGAGGTCGGCCAGGCCCCCAAGTGAAGAGAAACGCGAGCCGACGAGTTTTCTGCGTCAGATCGCCGGCGCATTTAGTGAGCGACAAGTCCTGCCACCCATGTGATATCGACGTCGCGCTAGCAGAAAATCATGATGAGGGGCCCGCTGGGCCTGGCGCCGATGCCGGGCGTCGACAGCAGGAGAGACGCAATGCGCGAAGGATTTGGCAGCAGACGAGTCTCCCACCAGGCAACCGCAGCTCGCGCGCAGATCGACCCCCCGATCCCGCCTCCCAAGAGCAACGCGCGCAAGAAAGTATCTCCGCTTCCCAGCAGTGGCGACGGAAGGGGGGGCATCTCGCCGGCGGCGTCGCGCGTGCCGCGCCGCGCGCAATAACCGAAAGCGCTAGAGAGGTCGCGACGGTTAGTCAGGCGCTGGCGCCCAGCATTCTGACACATAACAATTGATGTTCTGAACTACAAAAGCTTCTTCGCGGCGCCTCCGCGCCGCGATGCCATGATCCCGATCGCTCACCGTCCCCGCGCCCCTCGGAGACATCGCCCCCCAGCCCCCCGCCCCATTCCGCATCTTTCCCGCAGGGTCAAGCACATGGACCCTGGCTGTGCCCCCCCCTGCGCGGGATGGGCGCGCCGCGGCTTCGGCGGCATCGAATTGGGAGATGCGACGAGCGACGGATCAGCTCCACAGAAGAGGGGGGCATCAAGACGCGCCGCCGAGGTGCCCAGCCCAGCCCCCCGTCGAGAGACTCCACGACTCTGGTGACACATCGGCCACCGCAGCTCAAGGGGCACGGCCCACTCGGGGGCCGCTCTACGCTTGCTCGCCCTGATGAGGCCGCTGCAAAAACACGAGTAGCCGGCCGCGGCAGCGACCCCATGCGCAGGGGCACGCGGCGGCGCGGCAGCGGAGGGCGGAAGAAAATACACTCATTGCGCCAGGGGTCCCAGTCGGCTATCTCGGTCAGCTGCTCGACCGAGTCAGCGAGCCTACGCACCGAAAGGCAGTCGCGCTTATTGGGCCCGAAGCGCGAGTCTGCAGCCCACCTGAGGAGGCGGAAGGACTCGGCGATGCGCCTCTGCCGCCACAGCTCGCACGTCTCGTCCACGAGCGCGGCGCGCCGCCGACGGCCCTCCGCGGTCCGGTAGACACGATTCGCCTTGGTGGCCTCCTTGAGGGCCAGGGCCACCTCAGCCTCCTGCTCCGCCGCATGAGCCTCAGACAGAAAGAGAAGCGAATCTCATACCGTAGAGAAGTAGCCGACGTCGCTCTTCAGCCATCGGGGTGCACATTCGGCCAGCTGCATCCCCGAATTGTGCCTTGTCCTATTCACGGAGGATGTCGTTGAAGTTGTCAGAGATGCCCTCAGCGGTGGCCTGTTGCAGAAACTCTTCAACGCGCCGCTCGTAATCGCGAACACGCTCCTCCACCGCCGTCACAAAGGCATGTCGGCCAAGCCCGCCTCGTAGGCATCGCATGAGCCTGCCAATCTCCCAGCGTACCTGTTGATCGTGATGAACTGGACGACATGCAGGTTCCCGTACCAATGGAAATACAGCACGAACAAGGAGATGATCACGGATGGCCTTCGTGCAAATCATCGGAAGCTGACTGCTAACGCGGTGCAAAGGGCCAGCTCTCCGCAAAACTCGAACCAGCGCCCCAAGCCGGGCAATCATGTCAATGGAGCTGCTCGCGCCAAGGTTCCCGAATAACGTGTGAGCAAATCCGACATGCATGTTCGCATGTTGCATGCCGCGAGAGGCGAGGAACTCGGCGAAGAGCGGTCCAGCAGGGTAACCACGTGTAGCCGACCCTTCGGGAACAACGTCGCGGCCGACGAAGACCCACTGGCCATCCACACGCTCCAGGCCGACGGCGCCGTTGAGGTCGGTGCAGAAAACAAGTATGTTCCGCTGCGGCACCTTCGCGAACTGCTCCGCAAACCACACCATGAGCAGCTGCACCGTGCGCTCGTAGTTCCCACAGGAGGCTGGAGTACGTGGTCGTGGGGGAAACTAGCACACAATCGCATAGAAGGTCGAAGATGCCAGAGCGAACGCGGCAGTGCTGATCTCGACCCTGCAATGGCGCAGTAACATCCTCGCATCGGACAACGTGCTCGGGTCGGACGCGCCGTCCTCACAACACAGCACAGCCGCAAGATGAGTTCGTGAATGGCGGCACCTCCCACCCAGCCTCGTGCAAGGTACGAGCACCAATAGATCGTCGCCGAGTGGTCGTGCCGCGTGTAGCCCGCTGCTTCGTGCCCACCACGGCCAGCATGTCGAAATTGTGAGTGGCCGCAGCCATATCGTCAAGTCTGTCCAGGTTGTTCGCAGCCAGCGGGTTGTAAATCCCGATCGTGACAGGAAACTGCATTGTGGCGGCCAGCCACCAACCTACATTCAGCACGCGCATGTGCCGATGAAGGACGGGCCTACTATGGAGTGCCACGGTTCAGCCAGTTTGCATCGCATCTGGGCTGAAATGGCTGGAGGCGGAGGAGACGGAGGCGGAGGCGGAGGACGAGGAGGAGGATGAGGAGGGAAGGGATAGATGACCACAGCGATGACGACGACGGCGTGGAGGGGCGTCCTCGTTCTCGTCGTCCTCCTCGTCGCTGCCCTCCTCCTGCGCGGAGAGGAGTTCCTGGATGCGGCGCGTGCCCTCCTGTGTGCGGCGGAACGGAGGGGCATGGTCGGCTGGCGCAAACCTCGCTGCGGCAACAGAACATGGGCGCGGTCTGACCTTAGGAGGCAACTTGTGGGAGGTCTTCGGAATAACGGTTGAGGGCTCATGGGCCAGATGGAGAAGCCATCGAGCCTGAGCTGGCCCAGACAAGGCCCAGGATCAAGCCCGGCCGTACTGGGACAGTAGGCGGGACTTGGCAGACACAGGTCGGGCGATTCAGGATTAGGCCAGCTTTCGACAACGGATGTGCCAGCGCTAATGCTGAACTTGTCGCGCAAGATTAATGTCCATACCCGCTGCGTCTTGGAACCTGACCGGACAAGAACGGGAAGCGTCCGTTTGTGTCCTGAGCTTATGATATATCCCACGTTCTTACGATGCGATGCGCAAGTCTGTCGTGGCGTGCGTGCGTTTGCGTTTGCGCGTGCGTGCGTGGAATATGTGCATGTGTGTCCGAGCGTGGTGGTCTGCGGCGCTGCTGTGTTATGCCGTGCTGTCCTGCCGTGCTCCTGCGGTCTGCGTGAACGTATGTTGCCTCTCTGTGTGTGCGTCTGTGTATGTGTCTGTGTGTGCATGTGCGTGTGCCTGTGTGCGTGTGCCTATGTACGTGTGCCTGTGGGCGCGGCTGTGTGAATAGATGTTCTATGTGTTCTACCGTGCTCCTGCGTGTTCTGCCGTGCTTCTGTGTGTTCTGCCGTGCTCCTGTGTATTCTGCCATGGTCCTGCTCTGCCATGCTCCTTGCTCCTGTGTGTTCTGCCGAATTCCTGTGTGTTCTGCCGTGCTCCTGTTTGTTCTGCCGTGCTCCCGTGTGTTCTTTGGGTTCTGCCATGCTCGTGTGTGTTCTGCCATGTCGTGCTGTGTGCTTCTGCGTGTTGTCATTTTCTGGTGGATGCCTCAGGCGAAATTCTTCTTTTTGTGAGCGACGGTGTTGCGAACAACTCATGTTGGCGAGGATGTCTCGATCGAAATGCTAAATTATCCCGGCAAAGCAACCTAACAGCAATGTGTGAAAGCATAGCTGGAGGCATTGCCTATGGCATTCATGTAGGAGTGCTGGTGTAGAATTTTTGTTCTCGCAGTCGCATTCGGATTCGCAGTGGCAGTCGCAGTGACAACATCAGCCCCAGTCGCAGTCGCAATGGCATTGCCAGTAGTTGCAATAGCAATACCTACACGAGCAGCAGCAGCAGCAACAGCAACAGTAGTAGTAGCAGTAAAAGTAGCAGTGACGGTAGTAGTGGTAACAGTGAAGTAGTAGTTGTAGTGGGTGCAGTGAACGAGAACTAGCATTAGAAACACTATTAGCAAGAGTAGTACAAACGAGACACTTCGATCAATCAGCCCATCTTCGAACGAGACACTGCTATCAATGAGTGGACTGTCGAACGACTCATCGCTTTCGAGAAACAACAGCCAGGTCAACTGATCCCGCAACAACAGCCACGGCGTAGCGGCAACAGGGGCCGCAGATGGCAACGGCTCGGTCACCCAATTGGCCTCTCTGTGAATCACAAGGCGCGTGTGGCTCCATGAGCCTGTGTATCGCGCGCTGCGAGGCAGCAGTGTGCTGTACGTGTTGTTGCCGTAGCAGAAGACGGCCTCTGGGGCCCAGTACGGATTCCAGCGGACAGCGTAGACCCTGTGGACGCCATTGCGGATGACGTCGCGGGCACCCTCGATCTGTGCCACCCATCGAAGCCAGTCAAAGGCTGAGCCATCGGTGATGTCAACAGCACCTGGAGCAGTCTCGCCATGGTGGTAGTGGCTAACAGTTGGCTCCGGGCATTCAAAATGTAGCCCGGGAGTGGCGTTCTAGGAAATCGAAGAACACGAAGTGGCCTACAGTTGGCTCCGTGCATTCAGAATGTGGCCCGGGAATGGAGTTCTGGGAGGTCGAAGAGCACGAGGTGGCTTACAGTTGGGTCCGGGCATTCAAAATGTGGCCCGGGAATGGAGTTCTGGGAAATCGAAGAGCACGAAGTGGCTTACAGTTGGCTCCGGGCATTCAAAATGTGGCCCGGGAATGGAGTTCTGGGAAGTCGAAGAGCACGAAATGGCCTACAGTTGGCTCCGGGCATTCAGAATGTGGCCCGGGAATGGAGTTCTGGGAAGTCGAAGAGCACGAAGTGGCCTACAGGTTGCTCTAGGCATTCAAAATGTAGCCCGGGAATGAAATTTTTTTAAAAATCGAAGAGCACGAGGTGGCCTACAGTTGGCTCCGGGCATTCAGAATGTGGCCCGGGAATGGAGTTCTGGGAGGTCGAAGAGCACGAAGTGTGTGACTGTTTGCGAAAAGCGAGTTCGGACCCAGCTCCCCGGATGCCGCCCGGACCCCCCTGTGGAGTCATCTGCTGCTCTCTCTTGACCCCACTAGAAACCTATCAGTCTTCGCTGTTAGGTAATTTGAAAAATATCGAGGGCGCTCTTGGGGTCATATTGGGCCTCGTTTGGGGCTGCTTGATGCCATCAAAAATGACGCCAGTGCGATGACACACACATATTTGTTTTCAGGATGTCCCTAGCGAGATCATTTTTTTTGAAGCCTGGCTTGGGCCGTCTGGAAGCCTTTTCAAGAGAGATTCCAAGACGATGTTACTACAGCAATTTTCAAAGCGATGCTCGTGTATGTTTCATTTGTTGCAGATGTCGTCCCTTGCGACATCGTCTTTTTGGGCATTCCTCAGGGCGCTCTTGGAGCAATGGCTCTCGTTTCTTCATTTTCAAACACTTCAAGAATGATTTCAAGACGATGGTGAGCACATCTCATGTTTTGAAGACGTCCCCAGCGAAATGCAAATTGTCTGCCGTGCACTTTTGTCTGGTCCGCCGTGCTGCCGGGCATTGTCTCAGGATGTCACGAGCGAAAACGCAGTTTTCAACACACGATATAATAAAACATCACCTCCGGAGACATGCCAATTTTGTAGAGATGTCTCAGGCGCAACGCTAAATTCTATATATGAATGAATTTCGCGGCGATCAGTTATTCGAGGACGTCCCGAGCGAAACGCTTGTTTTTGCTAAACGCGATGTCGCGGAGATGCCATTTTTGTGAGGATGTCTCAAGTGAAATCGCCACTTTTAGCAACCTTTCTTGACATGACCGGGAAGCGCGTGAAATCGAAGAGCTTGGCAGGAACGTGTACCAACATCAAGGTCGCATGTCGCGTAAGCGCTCGTCCTGAACGTCCACACGGGGTACCTCTTGGAATGCACTACCCGCGCAATCTCAACCGTGCCGCTGACGCCGAACGTCCACAAAAAATGCCCAATGGAATTCACTACCCGTGCTAATCCCGACGTGCTGCTCACCCCGAGCGTCCACAAAGGATACCAAATGGAATTCACCGTCCGCGCAACTTCAGTCACCGCCCACCGCGAACATCCACAAAAGATACCAGGTGGAGTTCACTACCCGCGCGAGTTTAGACGTCGCGCTGACCCCGAACGCCCACAAAAGATATCAGGTGGAGTTCACCACCCGCGCGAGTTCAGACGTGGCGCTGACAGCAGAAGAAGGAGAAGGCAATGTTTGGAGGATGTCTCGAGCGAAAAGTTTTGTTCTTAACACAACTGTTGAAAACCCATGTTTAACAATTATTCGCCTTCGAGGACCCGTCCGAATGCAATGTTGGAAGAAGATGTCTCGAGCGAAACGCTCCATTATAAATCATATCATAATTGTGCCCCCGAGGCAATAAGCCTTCGTACATTACACTATATTCGCGTCCCCGAGGCCACAAACCATCGTAAAAAACGCAATAAGCGAATCCCCGAAGCCATACACCATTGTAAATTACGCAGGATTCGTGCCACCGAAGCCCTAAACCCTCGTAAAGTAATATTGACCCTCGCGTGAAGTCCCGACATTGCTTCACGTCAGCGCCCAAGCATCCCAAGAAGTCCCATTCTAAGCGAGGGGGGCCGGCGGCATGGGGGCGAAGCCCTTACGGATATTTCAAAAACGAAAGAAAGCCGAGGCGCAGTGCATATGGATAGGAATCTAGCCTCTGGGGACATAATGCTAAATACATACCCGCTGCTCGAAGACAGTGGATAGGGATGCAACTCTTGCCCCCGAACTAAACCACCCAAGAGTTAGTCGGTGGCAATCCATAGGAGCCTCACATCTCATCTTGTTGGCTCTGGCGAATTGACTCAGGCCGACGCGAACCGACGCTAATCGACTCTAGATCAACGCGAATCGACGCTAGTCGACGCTAATCGACGCTGGATCGGCGCATCGACTACAGGACGCTAGTCGACGCTGAACACGAAATGAAAAATGTGTACAGGGCTCCCAAGAATGGAGACCAAATAATCTCATCTTTTCGACTCCCTGAATGACGAGACCCTCCCGTGACGAACTCCTTTTTCGGCGAGCCAAACCCTCGCCCTGCGAGGGCCCTGGCCCGGAGAAGCGAAAGTCCGGGTTGAGGGGCGTACGGGTTCCACCTGTGTTTTTGAATGTTCCGGGATACCCCACCTAACCAACCTCCTGCGAGGGTCCTGGCCCGAGAAAACGAGGGTCCGGGTTGGGGGGCGTACGGGTTCCATGATCCACCCGAAGAGCCTCGAACCTGTCCCTATCCCCAGGACCTGAGATCGGGAACTACAGAACGGTGACAATCTTAGGGATGTGCCCTCAGAAACTGCGGGAGTCCTTGAGATCCGAGGTAAAGTGATAACAGACACAAGGATAAGGATTTGTTTCGAGCTGGAAACCTTCACCGGGAATGGAGGGCAACCTGGGGCCCTTGGGGTGGGTTGGGGTGGTCTGGCGGGTAGTGAAGAACTGTATCCATGACTGGGGGAACCAAGAGATACCGGTACCGCTACTCCCCAGACCTCTCCTGGGGTGCGTTCTGATGAGGATTTCGGGGCGGATCGAGCGGTGGCGACGAGGGCCTCCCAGGAGGCCCAAGAAGGGGAACACGAGGGAAGGGCAGCGGCATGGGTACCTTGTCCTCCTCCGAAAATTAGGGAGGCCTGGGGGGGCGCCATGGGAGGGGTCTGTCTGCCTGGGGTCGGGGGGGAGGTGCATTCTCTGTTGGAGGGGGGAGGTGCGGTCTGCAAGGGGTCGGGGCGTCGGGGGGTGCGGTATGACAGGGGATCGGGGGTTCGGTGTGCCAGGGGTCGGGTGGGCCTGGCCACTCTTCTTGCTTGCTGGTGTGGAAGCGGGTCTCCGTTGCTATGGAGGTAGGGGAGGGATTGTCCGTCGTCCCACCGCTTCTCCTAATTCCTGTTTGGCCAGAGTGGTTGGGCCCGCGCGCGTGGGCGCAACTGCCGCCACGAGCGCCTCGCCCGCTCAGCGGCCTGCCCACGCAAAAGGGAGAGCATGGGGGGATTCCTCTTGTGTTGCGCAACGAGAAAAATAGTTATCGTATTGGGAGAAAGGGGCTGAGAAGATACAGGGCACGACTGTGTACACGCTGTGCACCTTTCGTGCTCCTTGTGGGCCTCAGTGGGGCCCCTCAAGTCCCCTTTAAGGCACAGAAGGGCCACCTGTCGTCAATCTCGCATTGATCGCCACCCCGCTTCGCAAAGCCCGAAGAGCCTGGGGAGGATCTCCGAAGTCCGTGGGCCGCCCAGGGAACGCATGGCAAGAACAAACGAACGCATGACGCGAACCCTTTTTTCAACATGCTGCGTCGAAGCCTCGGCGACCACAGGTACCATAAACATCAGTATATGCCAGGGGGCTGGGTAGCTTCAGGAGAAGAAAACTGTTCGCCACCTTACCCACAAACGCAAAACCGTTCTATACAAACAACGACCCGGAGCAAATCGCAAGTTCCAACACGCTCTTTATAATGTGATTGATGTAGACGTCCCGCTCCCCAGACCCCCTGAGACTTCAACCCCCCCCCAAAGCCATGAGATACAGCCCGCGCCGACAATTCGAATACACTGGAAAATGCTCGCTGGCGTGGCACACAGCCTGACCTGGAATCCAAAAGGGGTAAGAGGCTGGGGGCTGCAGCTTTCGAACGAAAAGGCTGTGGGCAATAGACAATGCCGTTCCAATTGCGAGGGGTGTGCGGACATGGGCGGTCGGGACGAGGGAGTGGCAGAATGCGCGCTGCGCCATTGGGGCATTGGGTGGAGCTCCCTATGGGGTCACGAAGCGTGTAAGGAGCGTGCGCAAATAAGGGGGGCGGCATGCGGGCTGCGCCACTGGGGCCTGAGGTAGAGCCCCCTATGGGGCCACGAAGCATGTGAAGGATGTGCGAAAATGATACGGCGGCGGCATGCGGGCGCAACCAATGGGGCCTGAGGTGGGCCTCTGTATGGGGCTAAGAAGCGTGTGAGGGATGTGCCAAGATGAGTGCTGGCGGCATGCGGGCGCAACCAATGGGGCCTTAGGTGGAGCTTGCAGCGGGCTACGAAACATGCATCGGTGAGATGGTGATGGTGATGGTGATGCTGATGTTGCTGCTGCTGATGATGATGAGGATGATGATGATAAGGGTGATGATGGTGGTGCGGACGATGATGATGATGCTGATGGTGATGATGGTCGCACGTGGCTTGGGGCGCCACGGTCTTGTCTTTCATCTCGGGAGAGCGTGGAGCTGCTGAGAGCACTCCGATGTGCTCGGCATATAAGACGGGCGCTCCAGGGGTGCGCACGCGAAACTTGTGGTAAAATTTGGAAGCGAGGGCCAGCAGCCAGAGCGCGCGTTCCCTTGAACTCTCCTCGGAGAAATCATTATTCTCGTCAAGGCCGAGTCGGACGATCACGGAGGCGGGGAGGACAGAGCGAGGTAAATCAACGAGGTGGAGCAGGCAGGGGCAGGAGACGTGGTGGGCGATCGCATCAGGGCCGCCCTCGCATCCAAAGACGCATCAGCGTTGGCCGAAGATGTGCATTTTGCGGATGGTGGCCCATCCTCCCGCAAGCGTCTTCATCACCGACCAGAAAATCTCGGGGCGAGTCTTCGCCAAGGCCTCCTTCAACGCCTGCCGGCGGGGGGCGAGGGGTGGGACCTAGAGCTCTGGATACCAGGAGCGCGCTCGCTTCTGCAGCGTAAGGTGCATCCTGTCAGGGTAAAGTTCGTTGGACAGAGAACGAGCGTACACCCCCTGGAGCCGCGGCTTCGTTTTGGAGCTCAGCGGGCAGCTTATGGAAGCCTGACTGCATGCAGGGCCTCAGCCGCAGTCATTCGCTGCGGAGCAGCGGCGACCTTCGGGAGTGCAAGATAATGGGCACGCTGTGATGATGATGCTTCTGATGATGATGATGGAGATGAAGATGAAGGTGGATGCGAAGATGAAGATGAATATGAAGCTGAGCATGAAGGTGGATGTGAAGATGCAGATTAGTTTGACAATGAAGATGAACTTGACGGTGAATATGTAGATGAATAGGGAGAACATGAAGATGACGATGAAAATGTAAATGAATACGATGTTGATGCTGATGATGATGGTGTTAATGATGTTGATGCTGATGCTGATGCCGATGCCGATGCCGATGATGATGATGATGATGATGATGATGATGATGATGATAATGATACTGATAATGATAATATGATAATGATGATGATGATGATGATGATGATGATGATGATGATGATGATGATGATGCTGATGCTGATGCTGATGCTGATGCTGATGATGATGATGATGATGATGATGATGATGATGATGATGCACACGATGGCTTCAAAACACGAGAGGAAAGGACGGGAGAGGTAGGAGGGGGAGTGGAAAGAGGACGAGGGTGATGAAGTGATGTAACGAAGAAAGGAGAGAGGATGAGGGAGGGCGGGTGGGGGGGGGACTGCACTTGCTGGGAGAAGTATCGCAACGCCTCAATATCTTGGGTTCCTCTGGACTAGTTGGAAAGCTGGAATCCGCGCGGAGCCACAGGACACTGAGGAAACGAATGGGGTCCTGAAGAATCCTTGGAAATCCTCCGACGCCACCGTGCTGGTATTGGCCGCTTGCTTTCGGGCGCTGGGCGTGGAGCCCCCGCGCATCTGTGCGCTTACGAAGGCAGCTCTCAAAGCCGCTGGACCGAAGGGCCTGGCGGGGGCCCGCAGGACCCCAAGGGGGTGGCGGGGGGCGAAGCGCTTGGCAAGGGCCTGGAAGGTCCCGAGGGGGCCCGCAGGAGCCATAGCATCGGAAACAGCGGGCCCTTCGGAACCGTTGACCTGCCATTCTGTTGTTCTCTCCATGGACCCCCGAGAACCGCCCTGCCCTCATCAACAACATCAACTGGAAGCGTTCACGAAACATTATCCGCCTCCTCGTTCTCCGCCTCACGGAAAGCGCGGTCTCCTCTCGGCCAAGCTGTCTCCTTAGGCCTCTCCACCGCTCCAGGCCCAGCCGGGCTCGGGAGACTGCCGCCGCGCTGAGACATCTGGCCCGCACAAGGGATGGCCCGAAGTAGAGCTGATGCTGATGCGTCAGGGGGGCAGGGAAGGAAGCGGGAAGCAAAGCGGAGAAGGAAACGAGCGACCAACACATCCGTATCCGCGCCCTCGCAGTCTGGATTCTGGAGCGCGAGCCCGCGGAGACGCTGTCGCACGGATACGCTCCGCGCGGGGCATCCTCGAACGAACGTGCGTATCCGCGGGGTCGCGGATACGGATATGTCTTTCGCCCACCAACTGATGCGTCCGGGGGGGGGGAGGGGAGCGGGAGGCAAGGCGGACAATGGGGGGCGGGGGGTAAGGGGGTGCGGGGGGGCCAGGGGAGGGGAGTGGAGGCGGAAGGAAGTGGAATGGGGAGAAGTTTGCCCGAGGGACGAGCAGTTCTCCAAGCCCACCCTGCGTCTCCCTCAGATTATCTGACATCTGAAACCGCCCCAGTTTGCGCCAGGCGCTGGACCCAACAACTACTACACCCAGAGGACACCAACGAACGAAGCGCAGCGGCAACGATGCGTACAGCAAACACCATGCACGAACTCACAGAACAGCGTGTTCGCTGAACTTTTGAACTACCTCGATTGAAAAAAATATGGTGCTCGTGTCTGCGGTGCACCACTGTGTTGAAATGCTTCGAAGCCCATGATTTGAAACAGATGATGACGTGCGCAAGCGAAAACGCGTCCGTCTGGCCCGCAGGTCCTAGTTTACAATATTAGCGGGATCGGAATAATTGCTGAAAGTTTTCGACAAGCGCGCTCGTGAGGCCCGCATGGTCTAATTCGACGGATTGGTTGAACACCTGCTGATTTTTTGTGGT